TACAAACGATAAGTGGATTTTAGTTTATTGCTAATTATAATTAAACTACATTGAATTGGACCGTGATCTTCATAAATAATAGTTTAAAAAAACTAAAAACCACTGCATGGTGTTAATTGTCATGAATATTTTATTGACAGATATGAGTAGAGTGATTATCATTTTGATAATATCTTAAAAAGCCCCCCACGCTTTTTTTAAAATAAAATACATATTTTTTATTTACACTATTATTAATTTATATTTATTGAAATTTTTAACACTATTTTTAATTTAAATTTATTAAAATTTATTTTCTATTTTTTAGTTTGGTTTTCTATAAAAAGCGTGTTTTTGGTTTTTTTAAACTATTATTTATTCTATTCATAAACATCCGTGTAATAATCCCGGAGTCTGATGAAAATATTTATAATTCTCAAGTTGTAATGCTCGTCGCATCCTCAGTTTTCACAAAGAACCCGTCTACCGTCTGCCTTTTCATCAACCGTCTGATGGTCTACATGAGGCTAATTTGAACTACCTATAACTGTGAGAACCAAAAGGTGCCTCGCAAATTATAAAACACACACTCTCACCAATGACATACACATGTGACTTATGCTATATATTTGGACATATATAAGTATCTTATTCACCGGCATCCGGAAATTTCAACTCATCAGATTGAATTTCAAGTGGGGAAATTCGGTGATTACAGTCGACACTCATTACCGGCTCTACCTATTTAATTATCGATATTTGGGGCAAACCCCCTATCGATGTACCATCCTACTATGTGTACGACAAATTAATTTAATCGCTTGAAGCGGTACCTGGAAATTTATACACAGGCAAATTGGTAGATGATACTGATTATCCCTGTCATGGCAAAGATTATATGTTCAAATGTGTACACTTTAAGCTATTTTTGACAGGTCCGTACTGTAAAAAATCGAGAGTGAATTCAAAGTATTAATTTTACTGCGGATAAATTTGATCTATTTATTTATTTATTTAATTTATATGCCAAGGCTTAGCCGAATGGCAATAATACAAGATATGGATATAATTAATGAGTAATAATTAAATTAAATAGTGTAGTTAGATAATAAAGCAGAAAAATTATAGTACAATCCAATACAATAAATTAAGTAAGTAGCATATGAGTAAAATCAAATACAAATTCAAATTCTAATTCAAGCAAACCAAACTGGATAATTATGACACTGAAGTTAGAAGACGTGTAAAAATTTTTGATTTTTTTTATTAATATCGACAATTTTTTTTTAAATTGTTTAATTGAAATTTTTTCAATAAAAAATTTCTAAAAATTTTTAAATGTCGGCTAACTTCATTTTCATTATAATTAATAGGGTTATTATAAACTGTTAGATAGTTCAAGATTTAAGAAAAATTTAAACGCTTTATTTTTGAAGCTCTCGGGGGAATAGGAGTTAATAATATCACTTGGTAACTCTTCCCATAAGTGAATACTATTTAAAAAAAAATGTGATATGAAAATTGCCCACATCAAGCCATGTAGAACTCATAGGTGGCTATTATAGTCATATAAGCCCATAAATAAATTTTGACTAGAAGTAGTGTCAAAAATCTTCAACAGATGGCGCATGATTGCTTCGTCTTCTCCCTTCTAGAAAGTTAACTCTAAGGTGTTATAAATTCTTAATAAAAAAATTTTTTTTTTCTTTTAAAGAGTTTGTCTGTCATTGGTATGTAATTTCATCAATTATATTATGTAATTACATTATTAAATGAATAATTAATTACTAAACGAAATTTTGTTCAATAAAACATATTAAAATTTAGAATAAATTAAAAAATGATAATAAATCATATTTTTGTTTCTATTTATAGCTTGATTTAGCCATATATGAAAAGATCAGAGTATATACGGCAATATATGCATTTTTTTACGTAAAATGTGTAGGTGGTTGAACCCTTGACTCGTAACCGGGAACTTGAGCTCGGAATTTACGCCTTGGGGATTCAGTTCAATATTTCAGCAATTACGTCTCAAGTGCATTATGATTTTTTGCCAGTTGCCAAGAGGCAAATATGCTGTTTTAACAGAACAAACAGTTTCATTCAACCGTTCAGGGTACAAGAAAAAAAGGCAGCTAGAGATGCGGGAGTAAAGTGAGTGAGAAAGAGAGGGAGGAGCCAAGAGTGAGCCAAATAAATTAAATTGTTCTCGACGCCACTCCTAGAAGCTTCCTATATTTCTTGCGCTCAAATCGAGAGCTTTTTGTCCAGTTTCATTTTGCCCATCATCCTTTGACTACTTTCTCATTCTTCTTATTCTTTTTCTGCTTCTTCTATTTTACTTTTTTTATTTTTATCAACCTATTTTTTTATCGTAAAATATCAATCTTGATGAATTAAAGGAGAATCGCGAATTGACGAAGACAACGCTCCCTCGTATTTTTTAAGCTTTTTGTTTATCTTTCAGGTCTGTCTCTACTCTTTGGTTTTTATTTGTTTTCCATCGCTTCCATGCTATCCGTTGAATTCAATTTAACATCCTATCGATCACCATGTGTAGATGTATTGGTATGTTCGTATGTAAGGATCAAGAAAAATATTGCGATATATATTTCACGGAAAAAGATGGTACAGATATATCTATATATATATACGTACAACAATCTGCTTCAATAGAAAACGTGATACTAGAGCGCGAAAAGAAATTATTCAGTTGTTGTTGTTGTGTTTCATAAACTTTACAAGATGTCCGAAGTTTATTGAATTTTTTATATACATTTTCATTCATAGCTTTTTATTCTATATATATTTATTGAGTGATATTAATGATCGATTGTGTTCTAAGGTTATTAGTCGATTTTTCTTCATCAACTAGGTGTCATATAAAAATTTAATCAATTTTAAATTTAATGTTGTGAAAAATGTGTTGTCTGTTAATTTTTTATCGCACTTTTAACGCTTGATCTTGAGTAGAAAATAATTTTTAATGCACAGAAAGAAATTTTCTTTATAAATTACCGTGAATATTATAAAAATCGTGAAACATTCCGTAATTTTTAATCTAATTACAATTTTTTTTAGTAATTATTTAAAAATACAAGGTGAAAAAAATTGAGAAAAGTAACATTAATTTTTATTGTGGCGTTTAGGTAAAAAATAATAAACGTAAAAAATTAATAGGATGAATAATAATTTTTTATTATTTTTAATATTAAAAGTTACAGAAAAATCAAACATTTTTACTGAAACTAATTAAAAATTTATCGGAGTCTCAAGTAAAAATTAATCTAAGCAACGATATCAGGCGGCGCTGCAACCGCTGAAGATTTCTTAATTGTATAAAAAATTACACATTTTCGTGATCAGTTGTAGCTGAATTGCAGTTAATTCTAAAAAAAATTTATACAATTATCATTCTAATAAAATTTTATGCAATTAGTTAAATATAATTTGTAAAAATGTACTTTAATTAATTTAACTATTATTCTATTCATATTTTCAAGTGAAATAACTTAAAAAAAATTAATCAAACATTTAATCTTATTAAATTAAAATCTAATTTTTCTAAAATGTAAAACCGGTAAAATTTCTTATACTTTAAAATTTTCAAAAAATTAATTTTGTCGAAAATTTTGATGACAATAAGCTCTTTAATAAATCTATCACTCGAAAATCCCATCGTAAATTTTATGACCCGAGGAATTTGATGAAAGATATGTCTCCATAAAAGAGATAATGACGTGATAGTCTTATTGTAACCGGTAAAATGCACCGTTAAGAAAAACTTATCAATCATAAATAATTTTTATTGATTTCAGCTGGCGCCCGAGACGGCGCCAACCGCAGATATCCCGTGATCGTCTTTGTCCACGGCGAAAGCTACGAATGGAGCAGCGGTAATCCTTACGACGGCAGTGTGCTAGCAAGTTATGGTGGTGTCGTCGTCGTCACCATCAACTACCGGCTTGGCATTTTAGGTAAAGTATCTTGCCGACTCTTCATTAATCATCTTATTTTATTCCACTATTTTTGACTCTTACTCCATTTTTTGGCTTTTGCTCTATTTTATATAACTAACCCATTAATATAAAAGTTTGCTAGCAAGTAAAATAAAAGGTATTAATAATCCCCCTTACTAAGCATCAATTTTACCGGCAGACATTTTTAAAATTCTCAGCACGTCACGCATCGTTAATTTTCACCCTCCAATAAAACGTGTTTCCCAATAAATAACACCCGATAATCTAAATCCAGTCTGTCATTTTTGACAGGCCGCTCAATCGGTTATTCAATTCCATTCAATCCGCGGTATGACTTTTTAACTAATTTCAACTCTAATACAAATAATTACCGCAATTGTAATTATAACCGGGCTTTATTTCGTGCTTTTTATTTTATTTTTACAAAAATGATAATAATTTTTTTTAATGTTTAAAATAAAAGATCATTCTTTGTAAAAACAAAACCGCACAGTAAACAATTTTTCCTCATTATATTATACTTTTTAGTAAATAATTAACAATTTAGTATTTTAATTTAACACATGTTTTTTAACCGAAAGGAATCAGTTTTAATTAAAAAATTTGTTCTTTTCAATTGTCATTTATTTAAAATAAAAAAAAAAATTTTATTAAAAAAAAAAATAAAATTTGAATAAGGTAAAAGCCCTAATTATTGACACTATAAGAGAAAAATTTATGATTTGATTTTTTTTAAGCAATCAAATATCAATATCGTTGAATTTTGTTGGTGGTAATGTCTCAAGTAATGTTTTTACTTATCAATTTATTTTTTTTAAATGATAATCACTGATATTTATTAAATAATTAAATAGATTATACGGATACACCAATTATTGGCAGGTTAAAAAAATGATTGATGTAATTATTGACTGGTATGATGAACTGGTGGTAACATTACTTTTTTTTAATAATTAATATTTAATATTTATAACTGACAGTAATTTTTTTTTCAATTTTTTAATTGATTAGAATTTAAAAAAAATTTATATGATAGTTATTCCAGATACTTATTACAGATGATTAAATATATTTAAAAATAATTTAGGGTGTCAATAGTTAGACCCCTGTCAATAATTCGGGTTTTTACCTTAGTTGATAATTTTGAAAAATTTTTAATATCAAACTAAAACTAAGTGAGTATTTTTATGAGTTTTCATAATAGAATTTAAATTTTTGGATAATATCTATCATAAAAATAAACTTAATGTATATCTTAAATAATCTATATCAATGCTAATAAATAATAATAAGATATTTTTTAAGTTCAACAGAATCTTGATTACGATTATAGAGATGTCAATATACAAAATTAAAAATCATTCTTATTTAAAAAATCACTGTATAAAACATTTCGATAATGTTGAGACCATTTATTCTTGCAAATAAACGTTTACAAAAGTTTTTAAAAACTTAATTGCGGGTAAAAGGTTAAGTAAAGTTAAAGAATCGTTTTACTAAAAAACAAACAAAGTTCAACTCTAGCCCAACAAGGGGTGGTTCACAGTTAGCAAAGAATATAAAACTTGAGGATAAGAAGAAAATTTACTCCATTTAAAAATTTTACGAATTCAACCAAGCTTTTTAATATTTTCACACAAAATGAGCTATTTTTTTCCCCTAAATTTTTTTCTTTAAATTTCAAGATATAAAACTCTCTTTAAAATAATTTTCTAAAACATAATTAACTTTTTTTTTATTCACTCTATCAAATTAACACACAAATATTTACCAAAAAAATTTTTTAAAATTCTTCACTGTGTGAATATTTTTAAACAAGAGTGAAATATTTAAAAAAATATTTTCGTCCTTAAATAAAGTATTATTTTTATCAAGGTAAAAATTCCATCTCCCGACTGACTTTCAAAAGCTATCTTAAATCTACAACACCGATATCCGCGAACCAGGTTATTGAACGGTTGAAAATCCGTACACCGAAGGGTTGAACTCCCCCGAAACTTTTTGACTCTCGAGTTTTTAATAAAAGTTCTGGGGACAGAATTTTCTACACTAAATTTTATTAAAAAAAAAAAAATCTCACATTTTGTTTTATTTCTTACATATATTAATTTTTTATATCGTCTATCTTGGTAAAAAAATCTCAGCACACAAAAGAATTTTCACAAAGAAAAAAACAATTTAAAGAGCTTTAGTGACTACAGAAATTTTCATTTTCTCTTTTCTTTGAGCGGTTTTCTTACATACATTTATATGAACATAAAAATGCATCCGTAACATGTATCACATATCTAAATCACTTCTTTTTTATTCCTCCACACTCACGCTCTGTTCTCATTGAAAAATTTAGTCTCTATCCATCTCCCTTTATCTCTATCCAGATACACAATGCCTGAAGTAGGAGAAGGAGGCGGTAGGAGGTGGGAGTAGCAATTTTCTCTTTCCTTTGTGACAGCCGGAAATTTCTGCGTCATTGGGATCAACGGGAAATTGTTGAGCGGAAACGATACAAGTTTGTCGAGTAAAGATTTGACTTTGTGAAATGCTTTGGTATGAAAAAATTTTTCGTCTAAGAGATTCAAGTTGCGACGCTACAAAGAATTTTTTAGCAACAAAGAGGCAGAATAAACTTGTACTCACGGAGAAAAAAATATCCCTCTCAGAGGTATACTGTACTGCTGCAGTAGCCATCTACTGGATCGCTCATAGAGTGTTAGGATAGTTAGCTAAAATAGCGATAAACGTTATCGCTCCAAGGGCTATACGCTTTGCTAAAGGTTCGAGTCTCTCGTGTGTTGATATATTTTATGATCTCCAAAATTCAAATATTTATTTAATTTTTTTATTATCTATTTACCGACGACTAGTGTATAAAAATTTATTTATTTAATTTAAGCAGGTATACCTTTTCATTTATTTATTCATTTATTTGTTTATTTACGTTACAAAAACCCAACAGCATACACCACTAACACGGTCACTTAATATAATATATACATAAAAATGATAAGGTTTAATTAATTTATTTTATAGCAATTATTGGCTTAAAAATAATCTATTAATTTTAAATATCGAACTCAGTCAATAGTACACAAAAAAAAAAATTTCTTGCGCCAGAAAATTTTTAAGAGTAAAAATATTAATAAAAATTTACTTCTATCTTTATATTTAATTTTTTGGAGCAAGACGCTGAATTTTCTCAAATCAAGAAGATTTTCTTGACTTAAATAAATTTTCTTGGATCAAGATACGTATTTCTTAAAACAAGAGAATTAATTTTGTTGGAGTAAGTGAAATTTCTTGTCAAAAAAAATTTTTTTTCGCTCAAAAAAATCATTAGGAAGAAAAATATTTTCTTGGCTCAAGTGAACCTTTTTTTCTGTGTAGCGTATAAAAATTTATTCAAGTATAAATATCGAACTCAGTCAATTGTACACGGAAAAAAATTTCTTGCACCAGAAAATTTTAAAGAATACTAAAGTCATTTTGGTGAATCTTAACCAATTTTTATAAAATTTTGTGGACTTATTTTATGAATTAATACTAAGATAAAGTTGAGGAATCAGCCTTGTAAAAACCGAGAGGCGTACAAGTAAAGCAATAATAATATAAAAAGTACTAAGATAAAGTTCATAGATGAGCAAAATCAGCGAGGTAGTTTAGGAATTGTGGGTTTAAATTTGGTCAATTTTACCGAAATAATTTATTAGCCGTGAAAGAAAGTTCAAAATCTATCTTAAAGTTCACTTATTTATTTCGTAATTTTTAAAATCATCTAAGCGCTTTTTTTGCGTATACTCCTGTTGAGTGAAATAAAAAACCAAGAGACGCGCTCTTAAATAAAGCAAAATGAAAAAAATTCTAAAAATAAAAAATGAAGAAAGTGCGAGCTGTCAACTTTGAAATCCCACTTCCGTTGCTCCTGTCACAGTCTAGCTGAAGCGCATCCGCAGTAATATTTGTCATGCGTCAGGGTCCGAGTTTTCCTGAAAATAATTCACATACCGGAAAATATTCGGTGTTCCATGAATTTTTAAAAAATGTTTATACGCTTGTAGCCTTTCTTTTGCTTTTTCCGTTTTAGTTTTTATTGTTATACGGCCCTCGGTATCTCGATGCAAACTTTACAGTGACCGTAAAGTGCAAAATGCAGAGTGCAGAGTATGCCCGCAGGAACACCGCCGCCAGTTTGATTTTTATTCATCTCCAATGTTCGATTGTTTGACGTTCAGTTATGCCGAAATTGATTGCGTGGCTTGATCAAGAGATAACTGTTAGGTTTGCAGAATATAGAAAGGTTGTAAAAACTCGGTGGAATTGCCTGATGACACGTGTAACTTGTTTTTCTAGATGGGATCGATTTACTGATTGAATAATTCGAGACAATGTCCCGGAGAAATAATCTTTGTAGTTGTAGTTGTAGTTCTGGGGGCGGGAAGGACAAGAATGTAATGAGTTTCCTATTAGATTTAGTTTCCGGCGTTACCAGGCAACCGGATAAAACGGAAACTAGTTTTGCTTTCTCGATACTTTTTTTAAAACTTTTACAGAAGCTACTGAAGCTTATCAGGGAGTCTAAAAATAAATTGTGTTTCTAATACAAAAGGTGAATTTAAAAAGTTTCTTTTTTCTTGGGTAAAAAAAAATCTTTGATTTGGTTTTTTAATTTTAGATTTTTTTTTCTGTTCCAAAACAGAATAAATTAGACATTTTTATTAAAAATTTTAATTATGCACAAAAACAAATTGTTTATTTCATGAGAAAAATAACCAGACTGTAATCTAAAAGCCTGCTTTACCATTTATTGGTAATTACAATACTTTTTAAATAAACTTACCGGAGTTTCTAGTTAAATAAAAAAAAATCTTACTAAGTATGTCTTACTGCACACATTAGATTTATTATTGGACATATTTTTATCAATGGAATATTACCATTATAAATTTAGTAAGTTTTACTTTTTGGAATAATTAAATATTAGTTTAAATAGAATTAATGATCATATTTTGTAGTCGGTTGTCTTTATTCAAGAATTTTTCATCTTTTTTCTTTTTATTAGTTAATATTAATTTTTTTTTTAATTTAGTCAGTTACATTAATAATTTATAAATAAAATTTTTCTAAATATAGATTATCGATTTTTTTTAATTAAATTGTTTTAAGGAGGAACACCACTCTGACTATCGAAAAAAAGAAGTGATATTCGGGAATTTTTTTGACAGGGAAAATAAAGGAATTTGGGAATCGGGTTTTTTTTTTTTTATTTTATTATTTAATACATTAAAGATTATTACCCTAAATTTTTATTAAAAAATATTTAATTATAAATTAAAATTTTCAAAATTCCGTACGTGCGACGATAACTACATCCTTACTGATTAAAAAGCAATTTGGGTTTTTATTTTCAGATGATCCGTTTTTGAGTTATCGAACCGAGAGAAATTTTTTACAAGATTGTTAATAACTTTGTAATAATTAAATATTTTTTAATAAAAATTTAGGGTAATAATCTTTAATGTACCCTTAATAAAATAAAACAAATCCGATCCCCAAATTTCTTTATTTTCCCTGTCAAAAAAATTCCCGAAAATCACCTCTTTTTTTCAATCGTCACAGTGGTGTTCCCCCTTAATAAATTTATAAAATCAATTCAAACTAAATATTTAAAATCAAGAGCTAAATTTTAAACAGAATATTTTATTCAAGCCGATATAAATATAATTTTTATTGAAATTTAATCATTAAAAAAATTTAATCAAATCATTGTAAAAATTAAGAGTGACAAATTTTATTTTATATTTACTTAAAAATTTTTTTCAAAAAGCAAAGTGAATTTATCACTTTACTCGAGAGTTGATGTCCAATATATTTGTTGTTCTCTTTATACATTTATACTGCTCACGCAAAATACATCGACAGATCTACTCCAATATTTCAGTATTTTGTTTAGAAAAAACAGAATTTTTTACTTGTTATTTGGTATTTTTAGCTCAGTTTCTCTTCATGTTTCTATTATTTTTAGTTATTGCTATCCATTTCCATTCGCATAGTTGTTATCAAATCTATTTCACCAGCGGAAACACGAAAATATATACATAACTCGTAAGCTTTGATATTTTTTTGTACCGTCATATCATAAAGATAATATTCAGAAAAAAACAGCGGAATAATCGGGGAAAAAAAGTGGATGGATTGATAGTTTTTCAGTGAAACTGTAAACTTTATTCTGAGAAGCTTATTGATTTCCGTTGCAGGGTTTCTCAACGCCAACACGGATTCGCACTTACGTTCCCCAGCTAATTATGGCCTGATGGATCAAATAGCGGCTTTGCATTGGGTCCAGGAGAATATCGTTTACTTCGGCGGGGATCCGACCAATGTTACCCTAGTTGGACACGGAACCGGGGCTGCCTGCGTCAATTTCCTCATGGCCAGTCACGCGGTTCCTGACGGTAAGCTATCAGCTATTATGTTACAGCACGGCTATTATGTACCGTAAATAATAAATGTGGTTCACGTATACTAGCATTGATGTGTCACTTTTAAGAATTGACGTGTTTAAAAAAAAAATAAAATTTTTTATGGATAAATCGATAGAGTTGTTCTATCGCTCTTTTCAGTGTTTATTTCAATAGAATAAATTTATTTTGTATGGCTAAATACACGGGTTGATATAAATATTATTGTTTGTCACAATAAAAACATTTATTTGAGAAATAAATCAAGGTTCGACTGTCCTGTGTATCGAGAGTATACAAATAACTCGTATCTCGTTGGATAAAAAAATAGTGACTTTCAATTTGGTAGGATGTGAGTATAATTTTGCATGATAGGGATGTAAAATAGATGGAAATTTATACTGAAATTTAGATGTTTTTAGAATATTTTGTTTTCAAGTAAAATTCATTAAAATTTATATCGCCGGAAAAATCACCGAGGACAAATTGCCAGCGGTAAAGTAACCGAAAGAAAAATTATTGGTAAATTTAAATTGTACTTTTTTTACAAAAAATTTATTCAATTTTTTGATAATCTATATTATTAAGATAATAAGAAAATGATAACTATTTAGGCTGCATTCGAAAATTCTCTATCTCCTAGATCTATAATTAAGAAATGACTTTGTATCTTGAGAACTATTGACATTTTTAAAGATATAAGCTCATTCCGATGTTACACTCATCGAGACCTTTCATTTGAATACCCACATCAATTTTTCATATATTTTATATATTTAGATATATTATATATATGTATATATGAAAAATATATCAAAAATGCATGTGGGTACTCAAATGATAGCTCTTGATGAGTGTAACATCGGGACGAGCTTATATCTTTCAAAACGTCAATAGTTAAGAAAATACAGTGCAATTGGACAAAAGTTATTATTTAATAAAGCAAAATTTTTGTTTATTTATAATTTACAAGTCACGACATTCACATAGAGACTCCAAGGTTGCTAGTTTTAGAAATAGCAATTTTTTAATTGCTATTTCTATGATTCGTTTTAATTCATTTTTTACAGATACTATCTTTATTTCTAATTCACTTTCAATTGACAAATAATTTTCTTATCCCAAAAAAATAAATTGAATCGACTTGAATAAACACAATTTCCTCGATTTTCCAATTAACAAAATAAAATTAAGTCAATCTCGGCAACTCGGCAACTGCTCGGCGAAAAACAATAATATTAATTTGCTGACATCAAATACAAATAAAAGAAATCAAATAACGGTTAAATTGAATTTTCTGCTGTCAGTGAACGGGTCAGTCGCAAAAAGTGGCACAAGGTGTCACTGAAAAAAAAAAAAAAAAAAAAAAACAGGAACTGAAATAGGAAAAATTGAAGTAATTTAAAGAAATTTTATAGAGTAATTAATTTTGTGTAAGAAGAATTTGAAATAAATTATTAAAAAAAAAAAAAAAAAACGAGAGAAAATGGACTGTAGAGAAAAAATCTTAATTTTGCAGCCGCATAAAATGTTTTTTTAGCAAAAAGTGATTTGAAATGACCGTCATTTAAAGTTTAGATTTGAGAAAATATTTCTAAGCCACTAAAAAATAATTAATTAAAAGAAAAAAAAATTAATTGCTTTAAAATAAATTAAAAAATTACTTTATTCATAGTCAAAATTTTTTTTATTTTTATCAAATTATTTAAAATTAAACTTAATATCTAATAACAAAAAAATCAGTAGATGTTACAATTGTGACGGTTGACGGAGAGAAATTTATAGGAAGCTTTTAAAAAATTATGGGAATGGTTCCTATAATAAAATGATCCTAATTTAAGTAATCGCTCCTAAAATGGTATAGGAAAACATTTCATTAAAATTACAGGAATGATTTCCATATTTTTCTCTCTATATATAAAAATATATGAATGACCTAACTGTCAGCATTACATCACTGCAGTGAGAAATAATTAAACACTAATGGACTTTAAAATAAAAATGATGGATTATTTAATAAAATAAAATAAAGTATTGCATAGCATTCTATGATAACTGGAAAAATAATTATATAAAATAAATGATAGATAAAGTGTACTTGGAGATTAAGATAAAATTAAATTTCTTGAAGAATAACTTTAGTAATGAAAAAAAAAGCATCTTTAATTTTAGGTTGAGAGCACACCGTAGTGTATTATATTTATGAAAGTATAACTCGGAGAATAATTAACGTTAGGTCACGTCGAGTCTCTCCAAGAGAATCAGAATGAAGATAGCTGTAGTAAAAAAAAAAAAATAAAAAAGTATAGTAAAATAAAATGAAAGTAAAGATGGAAAAATAATAATGATGATGACGATGATAAAAATAATAAAAAAACATCTTTTATCGCTAAAATTGCACAAAATTGGAGTACCAGATTCAGATATCCCGGTTTTATCAGGATAAGAAAAAATGAGGGAAGATATAACAGAGGAAAGATGATAAAAAAAATTTAAAGCGGTAATAACAAGAAAAATAACAAAAAGATAAGAAATGAAGAAAGGAAAAGTGGAAGAGCGAGATAAAAAATACAACCGCAATCCTGCCACCAGGCAGAACTTGAGCGAGAAGAAAGTTGTGATTTGGCGAAAAGTGAGAGGACGAATGGAGCAGAGACAAGCGTTTTGAGTTCTGGTCGAGTAGAGGGCAAAAAATAAAATAAATTCGCTCCGGATAAGATGAGCAAAAAAAAATATGTACGCCCCGGTCGTTCTCTCGTTTATCCCGTCGCGCGACTTCCGCGCTCAGAAGATTTACCGGAAGGAGAACAACGCGAAAAGACTCTCTCGTACAACTATTCCTCCCCTTTTTCATACCGACTCTTCCTCTTGTGTATATATACGTCACTGTTCTTTCGGAAACTATGTTTTTGTTCGCCCCGCGGGACAGCTGGGACAACTTGTGTTTCGAGGTAATCGATTGTCGATGTATGCAATAATAAGTTGTAGTTTCGAGTACCCGCATGGAGTTGATGTTTTTAATATTAAGTTCTGATTTTGTCCTGTTCATTCAAATGTTATGAGTTATATTATGGGGTTTTGACAAAGAGCAGAATTCCAAATGTAAAAATTGCAACACGTACCTCACTGTCAAACATATATACTACACGGAGAAAATTTTATAGTAGAGTTTATTATATAGTTATGTTAAAATCTATTAACTGAATTCGATAGTAGTAAATATTATTTAAATAATTAAGTGAACTATCTGAATTGTAGTATTTACCATCCTGATGGTAGCTACTACTATTATGATGGTAATCAGTAATAATAACTGTTATTATTTTAATTAGTTACTACTATTATCAAAATCGTAATTCCTAATATAACCTGATGGTTGCAGTTACCATCAGTAATAATAATAACTACTATCTAAGCTAGTAAAAAATATTTAAAAAATTAAGAATCTGTGTTACTATGGATGCATTTCTGAATAAACTATAAGCAGCTGTAGTGCACACAAAATCGGGATTAAATTCGGGTTGAAATTGTATTTAAATTTTAATTTGTCTAAGACAAGTTTCAACGCGAAATTTTTCAAAAAATTTTGAAATTTCCAAAAAAATCAAAATTTTTAATAAAATTCAAATTAGAAAAAAAAAATTAGAGTTATAAAAAAAAATTTTTAAATCTTCAAAAAAATCAAATTTTCAAAAAAAAAAATTTTAAAGATAATTTAAAATGTTTTAAAATTTCAAAGAAAACAATGTGCATAAGCTAAAATATGGATGTAAGTAAAGGATTTAATTAAGTAAATTTATATTATTTTTTCTTTCCAAATTTTTACAATCTGAGATGGTTACAGTTACCATCTTCGATTGTAACAATTATAATTTATTATAATTACAATTATTATTTTTGATAGTAATCGTTACTATTGTTAATAGTAACTATTACAATTGTCAATGATACAACCTATTATTTTGTTACTAATTTATTTTATTACCATTTTAGATAGTAGGAGTTACTATTTTTGTATAGTAGGTAATATAATTAATTTTTCTCCGTGTACTGAATTGTTCTTCAAGTTCAAGGATTAGAGCGGAAATTTCCAAACAACTTAAAATAATATCCCAACACTTCGGCGGGTTGTTTTAAATCTTTAAAATTTTTATTATTTATTTATTAATTATTAATATAAGTAAATAACAATATAACAATATAAGTAAATAATAAATTGTAGCATCTAAATGATAAATATTATAAAGTAATTGTTAAAATAATAATAATTAATTAATACATAATTTTGAAATAAATGTGGTCGTTGATGATCTAGTTGTTGTAAAACGACCTTTTAAATATATAAAAAAAAAAAAATTGTTTAAAATTTTTGAACCAAAAAATTCTTATCTGAACAAAAATTTATCTATATCCCTTAGGAATGATCAAAATACCAAAAATAATTACGCCAAATTAATCGATTATATCGGTTTGCATCAATAAAGGTAGAATCGAAGCAAGCATTGTTATCGCTTTGATCATCCCTCCAATATACCGTGTAATCAATGAATGTACGGCGAGCTTAGCGAAGCCCTTATACACACTCCCACGTCAAGTTTACATTCCGAAACTGCGGTGCTTTACACTGGGCGTGATTCATTAAACATGCTGCATTCCATTCTATACATATACAAATACACATCAATGACAGAGAAGCAGAGAAGCTCATGGTAGACCAAGCCCTTCACTTCTCCAAAGCCAATACACAAAGTCGAGTATCTGGTATCTGGTATCCAGTATTAGAAACGTTCTACCAGTCTGCAAGTCCATTTACTGTGGCCAATTTACGTCGACATATGGATCGACTGACTTGACTGAGCTACGACCAATAAATCAAATCTCCTATACTAAATACTAAACTAGACTGTATTTATATAAATAGTAAGTTGAAATGATTATAAGATTCATCTTTAACTACTAAGATATGTTAGGAAACGTTGTGAGAAAAAAATTGTAGAAAAATTACAATACAGTTGCTTTGATAATTCTATATTTTAAAATTTACAATGTTACACATCATAAAAATGCCTATAAAAGTAGTTAATATCCAAATTTTTACGATGTAACATCGTAAATTTAAAAATGGAAAATTATCAAAGTGACCGTGTTAAAAGTCTAGCTTTAGATTATGATGTTACCATATTGTAATTTTTTCCCGTGTACTAAGAACTTATGTTCTTGACACAAGAACGTATATTCTTGAAAATTTCAAAAAATACATTATTTTGTCTGAAGAATTAAATCATAAGTTTTTTTACTGATAAAATAATAAAAGAAGATATTATTGAGGAGTTGAGTTTCAAAAGGGTATCTTTTCATTTTTGATTAATCGAGAAAAAAAACTGATTATCTTCAATTATAAATATTTTTATTGAACTTTTTTAATTTAGCTATAAAGTGCTATTAGTAATGAAGCTACAATTTGATTTTCATCGAGAAATCTATATAATTCTCGAAGTAATTAATATTTAAAAGTTCAAAAAAGTGCTCTTTTAAAATATGAAAAGATACCCTTTTGAAAATCAGCTCCTCTATTATTCTTAAGTCAAAAAATTATTATATTTAATTATTTATTTGAACTAATTCTTAAATCAAAAAATCCTTTCTAAGACACAGTTCTTGTTTCTTCTCAACTTTTCCCCATTAATTTCGAAATTATTGAGATCGTAAAAATTTATTTAAAAAAATTTTCAAATTCTTAAGCTTAGAAAATATTTTCAAAGCGATTGTCTAAAAAATGTTTTTCAGCCCTTTAAGCTTTACAAAGCTTTCATAACCGTGACTTTTGGCATTTTAGAACGTGATATATTCAATAATAGTCTGCAGAATACTAGCCTTTACCTTTACTCGACTAGTTACCTTTACAATATGAGAGTGTTGATAGAGCTGGAGGTGTTACAAAGGATCTAGGGTTGAACGTCCTTTATAGTTTATAGTTTAAAGTTTATAGTGTTGGAGCAAGATAGACCAGCAGTGATTGGTTCAAGTTAAAAGCCATAAAAGTGAAGCTATTTGTCTGAAGGGTTGATTGTTAAATTCATTGATCAACCCGCTAGCTGATTGCTATGTCGCTGAACCACTTTATTGTTAATCGTTGTTGGTGTATTGTATCGTGATAATAATGTTAGTTATTAACTTTTGAATTAATATTTTCAGGGCTGCTGTTCCACCGGAGCGTTCTCATGTCGGGAAGTGCTTTGTCACCTTGGGCGCTAGTCAGAGGCGCTGCTAATTACGCGATGCAGGTTGCTAAATATTTGAACTGCACTGGGGTAAGTTTATTTTTGTTTGCCCTGATTGTAGTTGAGATAATTGGAAAGATAAACTTTAATATAAGCTTTAGGTAATTTTTTTTTTTAATAAAAATTCGATTTTGAATTTTTGGAGAGTGTGCGCATATAAAGCTTTGAAGATTTAAAATTTATCCGGTCGCGCAATCAAAAATTAAAAAAAGTCGAATCTCGCGGTCTATTGAACCGAATTGCTGCGAAACTCTATTTTATGGGTGTATGAATTTTTGTTTTAAATCGCAGAAAGCTTTGATGATTTTGCGATGATATATTACAATTTTTGTGTTTTTTGCACGCCTCATAGCACGAAGCGCATAAAGTTGTGCTTTACACCCGACTTGTAAAGGTTATGCAATTTTGTAATCTTCATATGCCTCTATCAACAATATTACACTTACACAATAATATAAGAAGATGTACACCGAGAAAACACTTAAATTAAACCACCTTATATTTTCTAAAATTATTCAAGGAGGTCCATGTATACCCTACTAGTGTAAAGAATGTCTATAAAAAAATAATACGCAGGAATACTTTTGTTATGCATCTTAAAATTAATTAATAACATTTCTGAGGAAATTTCCGAAAAATTTACTCATTAAATAATTATTAACAGTTAATTGACTAATAAAAAATATAGCATTCTGAATTACCAGTAAACACTTGACAACTCCGCAAGAGTTTCCTAAAATTAAAATTTATTTATGTTTACTGTCTAACTAAAATTACTAAGATCTTCTAGCATTTTAAAAACCGCGGTTACTTATGCGCCGAGTAACTGCGTATGCGGTGTTGCCAAGTCAAATACAAGACTAAAGAACGGAAGTTCTGAGTGATTTTTCATAAAAAATATAAAATATCTCCGTAATACGTTCGGAAAACTACTTTTTTATTGTTTTAATCGAAAGCTTATTATTTTTTCAATCAAATTCAATGAAAATAAAATTTTTTTTAAAATCGTTAATTGCATTAATTTAAATTCTTAACCAAATACACGGCTAGTGGAATCTCCATTTACCAACATGTAAAAATTACAATTGTCAAACCTATTTATTTCATTGTATATTCCGGAAATCTATTAGTGTTCTAGTGTTTTAAAATTTTTTTTTTTTAATTATTAGGCTATGTAGATTGAATTTACAAATTTTCAGGAAGTTTTAAAAATTTTACTACTTCGCGTGGATCTCCTTAATTTTATGTTGCTATTTAAAAAAAAAAAAAACGAACAAAATAATATTTCGAGACCGAGCTTTTTTTTTAAGTTTAAAAATTTGATGAACTGGTGCCGTATTTCATATCAGTAGCCTAGTTCACGTACTTTTTTTTTTAAATTAATTACACAATTTATTTTTTTCTTAAAAAATCAATGAGCGTTATAAGGGGTGCACTTGTGGAATTTCCAAAATTTTTTTGCTTAGTTCAATTAAAAAAAGGATCAATATATGATATTTAGATTAATTAAAAATTCTAATGTCCTTTTATAGGATGAAATAGCAAAAAAAATTCTTTATAAGTAAATAAATAACAAAGTATAATTAAATTAATGAATTATTAGTTGAAAATGAGTATTAATTAAAATTATGAATTATTGGTTGAAAATGATTATTAATTAAAATAATGAAAATAATAAGCGCGTGTAAACTCATAATAAATAAATTTATCAACACGGTTATTTAACGGAAAACGTTTCAGCACGTAGTACGTCATCAGACGGAAAATGAACTAAATGGAAAACAGATACAATAATTAACGTCGCGTCAACTCTATTTGATAGTGACCTCGTTAAACTAGCGTGGATATCGCTTTGATTGAAGTTTTAGTGTTCATAGAATCCAAATAAAAGGATAAAAAAATAACAGTCATACCGGCTATAAAATACGTGCTTGAAAAGTTTTATTTGATGGAGACAAACTATAAAATACTTTTATTGCTCTAAGCTGATCTATAAAATAATAAGCATGATATTGTATACAAGCGCAACAAGGCGAGAAAATTAAGTTATAGATAAAGTTTTTATTTATAAATAAAAGTTATTTATTTATTTGGATGGATTTGACAGGTAAGCCATGATCCCCAGTTGTTGCTTCAATGTCTGAGAGAAGTCCCACTGGAAAATCTCCTGTCTGTTCCTGTCCAGGGACTGGCTTTTGCCCCGGCCTTTGGTCCTAGTATCGACGGTGTTGTCATTGATCCCGGAGATCCCGAGGATTTGGACTATACGCTACAAGTTGACACTATCAATACACTCAATAATATTTTACTACGGAAGGATGTTGTTGCTAAATTGAGCAGGTATTTACTGTTATTTAAATTTTTTTTATTTCATTTTTGCATTATATATTTTTGTATACTTATCATATAATAATATAATAATTATTGTTATTACAGTTACTCTGATTAATTTTCACTGCAGAATTTTTCTTCCATTACACTTTAATAAATTTACAATTATTTGTTATTAAATTTTTACTGAAATTCTTTTTTAATCAAAGTTTACTGAAAATTTGTTTACAATTAACATTTATTGAAATATTTTTTCTCTAATTAAAATTTATTGAAATTCATCCATTGGCAAAAAATCAGTGCATTTTTTTGCCAATAACACTTGATGAATGTTGAAAAAAAAATTTATTATCAGAACTTACCAATTTATTCATTAATAAAATCGAAAAAATTCATTTTAGTATTCAATAAATACGTTTGAAATAACGAATTATTGAATGAATATTCGTAGAATGAAAAAAATTTAATTAATAAATAAATTCCGCCAAATAAGTCAAATTTAATTAATCATAGTTATCCGGATAACTTTAAATCGCAGGTATTCATTTCAGCCAGACACAAAGTAATTTTTACCCTCGGTAAAAAATTTATCTCACTTAAATTTAAAATAAATTTAAAATAAAATATCATCAGCTCATCAAAAATTGCAGCAATTAATATGAAAATTCACTTAAAAATTTCTTACCACAAAATAAAATCTTACCAGATCAAATACGAATATTGAATGTAATGGCATTAATATTTAGTGTTAGGGTAAGCGCTGAAATTTCCTATCTGAGAATAAAAGTAGAACGGGTGGGTAGGCATGTGTATAAAGTGAGAAAATAGAGTAAGCTAAATAAAGAGTAGTAGCATAAAGGGTAAAAATAAAAAGTAGTGGTTTAATGCCGGAGCCAGCATACCAGCTAGCAGCACAAGTAGTATTCAGAAGTGGTTAGAGAGCTATCGTAAAAGTTAATAAGCTCTATTACACGGAGAAAATGTCTCCGGGTAGTAGGTAAACGAAACAGAAATTAGCCACGAGCTTTTGCGAAAACTGAATATCCCATAGAGCTAGAGACGACTGAATGCTTAACTAAGGCTATTCAACTATCCGGGAAAGGCTAAATCTACTATACAGACAATGGAATGTCTTTTATTATATTTTATTATTTGTTGTTGTTATTTTTGTTCCTGGTTTTGTTTTGCTATTATGATCTACTTTTTATCTGCTGCACGATAAATCATAAAAACGGATATTATAAGCTGTTGTAATTTTTTAATTTTCCATTAGAGCATTGTTTGCGTTTTTCTAAATGAAATAACAATAAAAAATTATTCATTCAATAAAATTATTTGTAATGTGTTTTTTCTTCAAAATAGCAAAAAAAGGAAATTTTTCAAAGCAATCCAATGAAATACTATCAGAAAAATTTTTTTAAATCTTCACACTTTTTACAAAGTTTAAATTTATTATTAAAGTATTAAAAAAAATATACAAATTTACGATACTAATTATTATTTGTAATTAAATGTAAAAAAAAAAAGCAAAACATTGCGTCAGGCGCATGGGTTCGAACCCCGACGAAACGAGCAGTTCACACCGGCGCGGCCGACGACCAACGTGTACCTAGCTAATTCTTGACATTGTAGATAAAGTACGAAAAATACACAGTAGAGTCTTGTGTCAAATTCACGTTTGAACATTCAATAAAATTACTCTATTAAAAAAAAATATTTTTAAATTAATGTAAACATAATTTTCTTAAATAAAGATAGTTTCTTTTATTAGCGTGACTATAAACTTATTTAGTCACCAATGTTATTGAGGCAAACACGAAATATTTTAATAATAGTTAAATTGAATTATTTTAAATCCTATAAATGGACAATAAAAAAAATTAATTAATTCAAGAGAAATATTATTTCCAAGGAAATTATTTTGTAGCCGGTTGTCTTTATTCAAGAATGTTTTGTTTTGAAATTTATTTTTTTTTTTTAACGAAGAGAAATTTGAAGTCAGAGGATCAATAATAATATATTTATAAGAGTAAAATTTTTTGGTTTTGGAAATAGCAAATTTTAACCAAAACTTGTTCTTTTTAATTTTTATTTATTTGAAGTAAAAATAAAAATTTATTATTTTGAAATGAACATTTTTTATTTAATAATGTTTAATTTTATGAAAAAAAAATTTCATAATTAATAATTTTGAAGCTTTTTTTTTTAATGTGAAGCTAAAACTAAAGGAATAATTTTAAACCCTCCAAATGGACAATGAAAAAAAAAATTAATTGATTCAAGAGAAATATTAAGTATTTCCAAGAAAATTATTTTTATGCCGGCTGTCATTATTCAAGAATATTTTGTTCTGTAATTTATCTTTTTTAAACGAAGAGAAATTTGAAGTCAGAGGATCAATAATAGTATATATTTATAAGAGTGAAATTTTTTTGGTTTAAGAAATAATAATTTTTAACCAAAAAGTTGTTTTTTTTTTTTTTCAATTTTTATTCATTTAAAATAAAAATGTGAAATAAAATTTGAATAATAAATAATTAAAAAAATTTTTTTAAAACTAAGTAAACATTATCAATTTAATTTTTGAGTAAACTGTCATAAATATAAACCTTATAATTAGCTTTTACTGTGTCTCTTCCAATACCTTATGTACAATGCAATGGTTTGGTTTTTTTTTAACATTTTATTATAATGTACGGTTAAAAAATAGTTTGACCAAAAATGACAAATTTCAACTGAAGCCCTGCAAAGCAAATAATTGACAGCTAGTTAAATATTAGCTGTTAATTAATATTTTTACTTTCGCGTCAGTTAAAAATTGTTATAAAAAATTCTTATTGTAGCTCATGAAAAACATCAAAGCTTGAGATTACATAAACCGGTTAGATATTTAATTTAAAGTCAAAGAAATTTTTCATCGCAAGCTTAAATAAATAAAATCAGATTTTTTTTTTTTATTTGGAAGAAAAAAATTTCCTCAGTGACTAGAAAAGTAAATATAGTGTAGAAGCGCAATAAGAAGACGTATATTACATGTTATACGTCTATCTTATTTAAAAAAGTAAACAGGGCAGACTAACTAGCCCAAAGGCAAAAAATCTGAATAAAATTTATAAAAAAATAAAAGTAACTTTTTTTTAAACACTGAAGTAATGCTCAAAGTACGAAAAAGGTAAAGGGCGAAAAGTACTTTTAGCTTACGCGAGTATTCAGAATTACATGAATACGCTTGCAGAAAAAATGAAAAAAAAAATTCCGCTTTAATTATGCAAATTTTTTATTTACATTTTTAAAAATTATCAAAGGCGTTCATTATTCCAAAGGATATTTTTTTCGTTTAATAAAAAAACGCTGCTCCGAACTATGTTATTTGATAATGATAAAAAATTTGATTAATTTTATAAATATCATGATATTATTATGAATTATTATTTTGAGGCGCGTATGCTCGAGTGTGGAATATCTCGAGTTTAAAATTCACACGGAATTCACGAGTACGCTTTCATGAGTATGAGTAATTCTCCATAAGTTTGGTTACGTGACGCACGGCACCCCGAATTAATTTAAGCACCGCGAGTTTTGTAATTAATATATAATGAGGCTCATACGATTTATAATTTATTTCTGTTAAATAACAAGCTTTGTCGTATCCTCATTATCACATCTCAATAAGCCGACAGCCAACTAAAATTCATTTTATTAATTTTAATTAATATTACATAATACTAATTATATATATGTGATTGTTATTTACGCTGTTTTATTACGTGTAATTCGTTGAACTTTACCTTTTGAATTACACTCATTTTTACACTAATTATCATCCGGTGGATTTATTGATGTGGATTATAATTATTAAAATATTTTATGTTATTAATTAGGAACGTTTTAAATTAATTGCGTATAATTAATTTTTTAATATTATTATGGAAATTATTGCTAATTATTACGGAATTAAAGTCGGTAGAGTGTGTTAATTATTTACTTTTGTATATTTAAGACTTTTTATTAATGAAAAAAAAAAAAAATAGATTATTAAATAAAATTATTATGGTTGAAATTTAAATTAATACAAGTTTTATTTGATGGAAAAATTAACTTGAAAAAAAAAAAAAATTTTATGTTTTTATTTATTTTATTTGCTTGTTTATTTATTTATTTATTTTATTTATTTGTTCTGGTATAAAATTCTACAGAGTTGTGTAAACTTCTGTGCGTAGAACCAATACAAATAATAATTTAAATCATACACTTGTAATGCTGATAATTATTGATAATACACAGCAAAGCCAACAATAAGTAAAAAAAAAATTTTTTTTTCAACAATTTCTTACAATTAAAATTAAAAAAAATTTTTTTTTAGTTTGTTGAAAGATTAAATTGACACAATACGAATTTTTAGTGCTAGTAAATTTTTTAATTTTTGAGTCAAAAAAAAAATTTTTTTTTTACCCAAAATATTTCATAATTTATTTATTTATAACATCTTTACTTAGTAATTATAATTAAATATAATTTATACGAGAGATTTTTGTCTGGTCAATTTTTATTTTTTTTAATGATTCATTTCGTCATAAAAAGTACGATATTAAAAACAAAATTATTTTAATTGATTAAGTTTAATTGTTATTAATAAAAAAAAAAAATATTACAGTTTTTTTTTATATATTTTACATCGGTGAATGTTTTTATTACCCGCGTGTACCTTCTATGGTAAAATCGATAAACTATTTAAAAATAAATCAGACTTTTATTAAAACTAAAAACAATAGGATGATATGAATCTTCGATTACGGAAGCAGAAAAACCAAAAAGTAACCAAATATTTTTTATTAAAATTTTATTAAAACTCAGTAGAATTATTTATTGACAAATTTTTTTTTATCTTCTCTGTGATTGATGAAAGGACGTTTTTTTAACCGTAAAATAGTGTTGATTTATTTCTACCGGATATGAAAAAGCGCTTGCGTAAATTACAAATACTGTATCAAAGGATATATGCCAGTAAAAACTCATTACCCGGTTTGCGTGCTATACATATATTTGCGCGTATATAAAAGAAAATCAAACCGTTCTTGTGAATACTTTAAAAATAAAAGTAAAAAGCTTGAAATTCATTAACTGACTGTTAGCAAATAAACGTAAAACTAAATACTCTCCTTTAGGTTCACAAATATTTGTTTAATTCTCTCTGTTGACATTAAAAAAGATGCATTTTTTTCTGATTAATGTTTACTCCTTTCAGATACGATCTCATGGTTGGGGTAGTCCGGACAGAGTCATATTTTTCACTGACTTCTGATGACTCCCTGTATGGATTGGAGGCTGATCGTCGTACGAAAATATTGCGCGAGTTTGTTAGAAATACATACACATACCATCAACCGGAAATATTAGCGACAATTATTAATGAGTATACTGATTGGGAAAGACCTGTACAACATCCTGCAAGTATAAGGTAAATTATTTAATAATTACAAGCAACCTTGCAGTCACTATGTGACTGCCGTGACTTGTGAACTATAAAAAAATAAAATTTTTCTTTATTAAATGATGACTTTTGTTAAATTGCACTGTACTTTCTTAAATATTGACGTTTTTAAAGATATAAGCTCATCCCGATGTTACACTCATCAAGAGCTTTCATTTGAGTACCCACATGCATTTTTGATATATTTTTCATATATACATATATATAATATATCTAAATATATAAAATATATGAAAAATTGATGTGGGTTCTCAAATGAAAGATCTCGATGAGTGTAACATCGGAATGAGCTTATATCTTTAAAAATGTCAATAGTTCACAAGACACAAGGCCATTTTTTAATTATGTTAAATTGCACTGTACTTTCTTAAATATTGACGTTTTTAAAGATATAAGCTCATCCCGATGTTACAATCATCGAGACTTTTCATTTGAGTATGCACATCAATTTTTTATATATTTATTTATATATATTATATATATGTATATATGAAAAATATATAAAAAATGCAAGTGGGTACTCAAATGAAAG